GCTTTTTGATTCTACGTGATGGTCGGGCATTAGTTTGCCGTCGGATTTTCCGCTTGGCGATTTTGGTGCTTTGAGCTGGATTTTTTTATACTTGGAACCGTATCTTAAGAGACACTGGGAACGCGTCTTAGAGATCCACCGGGTGGTACCCACACTACGACAGTCTACCACCCACAGTCACAATCATATCATCCGTGAAGAGGTTGAGATTGTCGTAGATCAATATTTTTACATTCTTCCAGACTCCCACTCCAGAGAAGGAATTCAAATTTTGAAGAAACGCTGGTCAAAAGGAATTACGTTAAAAAAATCAGTTTTATTTTTCACGCCCACTGGCGTGAAAGTGCTGTATTCGTGAAAGATTTGGAAAATGAGATACTTTTTTGGATGTTACATATTTCCTGAACTCTTGAAATTAGCTACAGTCATACCTGTGTTCAAGAAAGGCGATCCTCAGCTAATCGACAACTACCGACCGATCTCTATTCTATCAGTATTTTCTATGAAAACAATGCACACCAGAATAACCAATTTTGCAGACTATTCTAATTTACTAAATAATTCCCAGCATGAACCTTTCAGCTATATCAACAAAGAATTAGACCACGGCAGATATGTAGCTGGTATATTTTTTGATTTATCAAAAGCCTTCGATATTATGAGTATCAGCATATTAGAGGAAAAGATGTACAGTGTAGGAATCAGGGATTTTCTATTGAATTGGGTCTTGTCTTTCTAGCCTTAGAGGCACTTGCAAGTTAAGGTGAACGGTACAGTTTCAAAACAGTACAACATAAATATTGGAGCTGCTCAAGGATCAGTATTGGCACCTTTGTTATTCATTTTATTTGCCAATGACTTGAGCCTATCTGGCTTCATAATAAGCTACGCTGATGATACCTCAGTCCTAGTAAGTGGTACTACATTTGCGGAACTTGTGCGTAACATCACCCTAGTGGAAAATGAATTTCAGCTTTGGTGATAACAGAATCATTTGACTTTAAATACCTACGAGACTGTTACCGTTCACTTTAATACTTGTTGGCCACAGCTTCACAACTACGACACTGACTTGGGGACATTTTTGGAGGGAGATAATTATGGATTCCAAGCTCACTTGGCAAATGCATATTGACTCAATCATATTTTGCCATCTTAAAATTAAGGTACCCTGTAACACAAGCAGTGTTGCTTAATATTTACTATGCGATGGTATACTCTCATCTGTCTCAAGAGTTTGGGGGCAAGCCCGTATTGTGAACAGGGCATTCATAATCCAAAAAAGAATAGTGAGATTAATTTTTAACATAGCCTAGGCGTGAATCTTGTAGGTCTGCCTTTAAGAGTAATAATCTACTAACACTTCCGGCAGTCTACATCTTTAACTGCGCTAGATATGCATTCCAACAACAAATGTATGTTTGTTAAAGATAAAGATGTAAATAATCGTTACAACACAAGAGCTGGCATGGATTTGAGCATACCTTCACATGCATTAACAATGTTTGAAAAGTCACCCGAGTATGCCTGTATAAAAATCTATAATAAGCTTCCCTCTGAGCTTAAAGGACTTCAGAATGTGATAATACTTGAAAAACGCTAGGAGGTATCTTGTGGAGCTGTGCCCCTACTCAATAACAGACTTTTTATGAGTCCGTTATTTACTCTTTATTATATATCATGCATACTATATTTTTAACCTGTCTATTGTTTCAATGTGCTATTGTGGCTATTTTATTTAAAACAATGTTCTATACCGTTTTTACGTATTCATCGCATGTAATAAGCATCTAATGTATTACATTTTAGATATTTATGCAATTATTATATATATATATATATATAAACACAGTTTTGTGTAAAATGCCAATAAACAACTATGACTAACTAACTATATGTATGTAAGCCCATGTCACTCATTTCCATCGGTCTGTCGGTATGTCTGTCTTTCTGTCAGTCCGCAAATAGTTGACCAACATATAGTTTGGAAGGCATTGCTCGGATTTGGGTGAAATATAATGTAACTATTATACTAAAGACAAAAAATCTATGTAGTTTTTGGAAATTGGTCCAGTCCCAGCAGAGAAAATGCCAAGAACTCCGTTTTTTGACGTTCGAGAGGATCCAGATCATTTTTCAAAACTTTTTAGGGGTTCAAGTTTGGGGTAGACGACAGTGTATCTCAATTTACTTATGTTAGTATATTAATGCACTTCCAACCCCACGAATCTTACGCATATCTTAGAATTCCCCTTAGACAGAATGATAGAGGAATGTTTTTAACATCTGCGGCCTCTCTGACCACACCGGCTGGCGTGCTGGTCTTCATGAGTGTCCTCGCATGACTAGCGCTATGTGGTGCTGCCAGGTCTGACACGTCGAGCGATCAGAGAGGCGACGTTGCGAAATAGACTGTACTACACATTCAAATCATTCAGGCAGTCGCTGACTTTCTCTACTTTCTCGTATAATTCAAGCGGCTACTGGGAATGGTGTCATTTTATTTTCGGCTCATTTATTTTTCATCAGGGTACCTGAAAATGCTTCAATAACTCTAAGATTGTTCAGCTGCTTAACAGTAGGCAACGCACAACTCTTGCTAGCTGTTTGTTTAATAGACCCTGTATCCCTTCCATGAATGGCTCATCCGAACTGTTTCACATAAAAGCTCATTTTAGCAACATAGCTCCCACTTGTTTGTAACTTTTCCGCATGAATTTTGATACTTTGCATGAATTGATGCAACTTGGACTTAGCATTATCCAATGTCCAATTTAGATGAATTGCTGCATTAACATCCAAATCTTGCATTTGCTTTTGCCCTTGGGCACTATCCATATAATGCCACTCATCGCTTTTTCTTCCACGAGGCCGATAAGCTTCTCCGAAACTTGTAGTGCCCGTGCCTTGCCCAAACACAGTGTTGACGACCATCTAGGACATTTTCTTGGCCTCCATGATGTATAGCATGGTCAGGAGCTGCCTCAGTAATCTCAACCGGGATATGACAAAATCCTTTGCACCATTTGGCTGAGCATCTTTTTTGTTTGTCAAATTACCAGCATCCACATAGTTCTGTCCATTTACGCGTATTTAGCAGAGAAATCTCTAAGGATGCTCAGGTCCGGTAGGCCTAACTTCGAACACAGGTTCTGCCTTATTTTTCTGGCAAAACTGGTGAAGAAACGACTTTACGTGTCGCATTCCGGGAAATTGTAATGACTAGAGCCATGTAATTAACCTTTCTGCAAAACCACCACCAGGGCATGGAAAGAATTGTGTTGAACTAATTGTATATATCTGTTTGATGAAGTTGATCTGTTTAATTTCTCTGCAATACATGTTCGTAACCAGCTTCTTTCTCAGCGAGGGTCTAATTTAAGCATGCTGGTATCGCCGTCCAACCAAAGGCAGTCAACAGTGCTTCTTTGGCAACTCAGCAGCTTTATCTAGCCTTGATCTCTGGAATAACAAACGGCAGCTTGGCAACTATACTCTATTTAGGATATAAGGTCTCTTGCGCTGAGTCACTTAGATCAGGTTTAACTTAACCAATGACGGTGTTGCATGCAAAGTGCAGATTCAACATACTTGATGCCATTTTTCAACTAAAAATCGCAGTTCTTCATTGTCCGGTAGAAAACTTCTCACCTTGCCCTCGTAAATACAGCACGGTGTCAATTGATTCAAGCGCCAATGACGCAAATCACGCGAACTTACAACCCGAACTGCAAACGCTCGGCGGTTTCTATGAAGTTCCCAACCTAAATACGATAAATCAAACAGGGTTGTTGTATCTAAAGCCGCGATCTGGCCACAATTCTCCAGGCCGGGGCAGTGTCGGTTTATCAAGTGCAATAATCATGCTCATAAAGATCCTTTCAACACCAACTGGCTCCTCGACCTAAGAGACTGGGATAGGGATGTGCGGTATCATGTGACGATCGTATCGATGTTCGCTGCTATGCCAAAATTTTATAAAATTGCAGATCAGCATTAATTATGTTTCGTCCTCGTCGAAGTAAATATTTAGAATACATATCGTAGTACCCTCGTAGTAGTACCCAACCGCCATGTTCAGTGGATCATCGACACTGCACTGCACGTAAGACGACCGGCGCCGAATAACGTGTTAACGGTCCGGCACGAGAACAAGGAATGAAGGTTTATAGGCGGCCAGAGGGGAAGAAGATACGGGAGGGGGCGCGGTGCCGCTTACCTTCGATGCGTGCGCGCTTTGAAATCGTGGGGTTGGGTACTACTACGAGGGTACTACGATATATATTCTAAATATTTACTTCGACGAGGACTTCACATTATTAAGATCGAACGTCACATACAGGTAAGTTCGTTTGATCATGCAATTCTTGTATTCTATCTAAAGTGAACCAGCCATATTGTGTAAATGGGTCTGAAAGATACTAGCGCCATCAATGAGACAATAGCATAACAAAACTAAGTTAGACATTTATTTTGAAAATAAGCGTTGGACTTGCTGATCTCTCATAGATGAGAATGGGATCTTCACTCACTTTTTGGCGTCTCTCTAATGCCTATTTCAATTGGGTATCTTCACGTATTAATCAACACGTTGACTACCAAGTACGGTATATCTCATAATTTGTTTACCTGCGCGAAAGGCTCGATCTATCTCGTAGCTAAAATTAAATTCTACAGGGTTATTACGGGAGAAACTATACTGAGGCTAGAAGTTGAGACAGTGGGCTTTATTCACAAAAATTGTAGGCTCTTGGAGTTATGTAACTATGAGTTTTAGTCTGACTATAGTTTCTATCAAGATCTTAAGGTTTATAGTTTTATTGTTCAACGTCCTAAAGTGATCATAGCCTCTAAAATGTCTTTTGTGTCCTGGTCCGAAATTGTTCTAAGACTGACGTGTGTTGCTGACAGTTAACCTCTGATTTTGTTGGAAAATTAGTGTTTCACGTTTGTTTAGTGCTTCAGTAAATTCCCTCTATGCGTAGTTATTACTCTCGTTGTTATGCTACTGTGCCTTTTGTGTCGTATTTTATGCTTTGACAGTGGTGGTTCTTCTCACATGTCCTAAAGAAGTGTGATAATAAATAAATTGTTAGGTTCGGAGTTATTCTTATTCGCAAAGTTCTAGCTAGACTTTGTTTCTTGAGGTTTTGACTGCCGAAATACCATGTAAACCGACCCATAAATCAATCTATTGTAAGTTGAAACGTATTATACTAACTTTTAATCAGTAATTTGCGGAGTTTCCGTTTGGTATTTTCTAACAGTGGGCAAAATGATTAAAAGTACGCTGTTACGTGGCAAAGCGACCAGATGCAGTGTTGTAAATTACATGACAGCTACATAGTTGTATATCTTTAAATTATTTATTGGTATCGGATTACAATTTTGTTGCGTGAATCATTTACAAATACCTTATATAGTTTTTCCATTAAACAACTTTAAATTTTCGTTCAGAGGCCCTGAATATATTGTAAGAGTTCACGTGATATCCATTATATTGTTAGGTTTCCTGAGTACATTGAAGACGCGTTGGTTTTCGTGATATGGTGCTGGCAGGCATACCCACAGAAGCTATGGCACCAAACTTTAACACCGTGTATCTTCAATAGAAATCATTTTTGGTCGTTGCGCCCATCACTACACTTGATCAGCACAACACGAACTACCACTGGACGAATTCTCTTCAAAATTCAATAGTAGTCAAATTCCATAAATTTCATGGGTGGTACCTTCGGCATTTAAGGTAAAATTAGGACCTAGATCGCCGTTCCGCCAACTCACCACGAGACCTTTATCTTTCGATTTACAAATACCTTGAAATATAAGAGCCTCTTTTCATACGATTTGGACCACCAAGTTCTGGTGGAATCTTATGTACATTCTTTGCAGATAAATTTGGAATACCCTGTAATATGATCCGCGAGATCAAAAACGTGCAGCTCTAAGGTTACAACGCTCCAGGATTTTTCAATCGCCCTGGAGATATTTTTCAAAGCGCTTGGTATTTTTTCGTGAATTTGCTTTTTTCAAAGGTTTTTCTTCTAGAGATTTGCAACAAACTGCCTGTGATATCAAATTTCCACTTTGTTTACGGACGTGTAAGCTGTTTATCATTCCCTTCGCCCTTCCGGTTCGTTACTGAACTGTTGCAAAACTGACGAGGGTCTGCATTGTAATTCACTTACATCCTCTACCCTTTCAACTTAATTAGGTGGGATTGGCGATTTTTCTATATTTCTGCTGATCGGCCTTAATAAATCCCTCGCGCCTTTTAAGGATTTTCCTTAAGGATAAAGTGTTATTTATAGTCACAATTGTCAACGCTGTTTGTTATTCTTGGAGTAGTGCGACAGCTTGTTTACTCCCCAGTAAAACGAACGCCTACTATAAGAAGGATTCAACTCCATACACGTGCACCGCACACGGGTGGGAAATCAGTATCTTATTTTTCACCTACAGGTATATCTAGCTCGTTCGATAATAAACTATACTAAATGACAAAAAAAAAGTAAACACCTGTATATTTATTAGAATTCAAGAGTTCCTTACATATCGATTTGTCTTGCCATGAACAACAAGTAATAAAATGGCCAGGTTTTTCTGTTAAGATTTTGTGGTGACTGTGTGTATTGTTTGGCGATAACGAAGCATTCAGTTTTTGTACATTTACGGTGTCAGTTAAATGTTAAATTTCGTGTAGCATATTGAAAAGCCTTTTCTTACTCACGAAGCTGCAGTAGCCCGGAATGAGATACCCAACAGGATATCGACCACCTTATCAGCACTGAACATATATGCCAAAAAATATTAAATACGTATAAACATACGTAGCTGTTTACCTTTTTTGTCACTTAGTATACCAGTAAAAAAGACTTTATGTCACTTACAGCCTATCACAGATCGCTGTCAAACTACGGTAAACTTTCAAGAACAAAGCTTATCAATGAAATACCTTGGGGCATTCATAGATCTCCATCTAAAGTGGAATATTCCTATAAATTTTGTCATAAAAAATTATGAAGTCTACTACATAACATCAAAACTCTCAGTAATGTACTACATAACTTCAAATGAAAATAATATACAGCATAACAGAGTGCGTTGCAGCTAGAAATTTATACCTTTCACGACTGCATCGATTACATCAATTGCATATCTATACAATTATACTTATTATTCCGGAAGGTAAATTTATTTTTACATATTAAGACCATAATTATGATACACGAAGCAAACCGTCCACAATTATAGTGCCAAAACCAAGTAAAAGCATATTTGCCATATGTCACAGCTTTCTAAGCTCAGATTGTTACAATATGCCTATAGACATAAAAAAACTTCAACGATACAGTTTATTTACATGAAAGTGTGAGTGAAAACGTTACCCATAGGGATTATAGAAGGTTATATCCGCCCAAAGAAACCACATGTTCAAACAGTATTTCCACACTGACATTCTTTTTTCAAGCGAAAGTTTTATATTTCATCGCACACCCAGATAGGTCCCATTAAAAGATGAAAATATATAGAACAAACTATAACGTTTTGCTGCTCAGCTGTCGAGTTTTAAGCGATTCGAAGTACAAAACAGTCAAGTTTTATAGTATGTTAATCCGCGATTTTGAAGGATACTGACTTCAAATTCTAGCGTCATAAAGTACCTACTCATAAAGGCGTTCAGTGTTAAGTATCACGTGACTCTCATTTTATTTGAAAAAAATGTTACAAGCCCCGACCTTGAAATTGTGAACTGTCAGCCTTAGCTTAAAATATTTTATTCATGCGTAAATACAATCATTCCAGATATCATCTCTCTAACTTAACTCATTCAAAAACTGAGTAGCGAAAGACCTTTCTGAGAGGCACTAGATAGTGATACCATCATTCAGCGAAGATACATGCATCCAAGTTGATGATTAAGTGATGAGTCTTGATCACCTCTAAGTGCAAATAACTTATCCCCGGATCAAGCGCTACTACTCTATACAAGCATACTTGCTGTCTTTCGTGTCGAAATCTCACAAAGTTTCTGCCTGAAGGATGTACCCGATTACCGCTAACACAACCTACTACGGATTCGAGGTGAAGTTGGGCCGGTGTCAGTAATGATTAGCTTTCCGGGAAGTTGATGATGAGTCCCGAGGGGCTCTAATTACCGATTCCCGGCGATAATCGGCAAAACTTTGTACGAATTAGTTTCTACGAAAAAAAGTTTGCGGTTCGTTAGTTGTGCCAGTTGTGGTCTGGTATGAGGAAGATATTTATATTCGCTAATCGTCGGGTGTGCGATGACCGCACCACCTGGCGGATGACAAGGCAAAAATACTTACGTGCAATATAAAGGGATAGTAATGAAAATGCTGTTTTAATCTAACACATTATGACAGCGAAATATTTGCAATATTGCCAGGGTCCATTTGACTCCACATTGCACAATTTCCACTATGGCAAGTAACACATCTCTCTTTGACAATCACTCTTAACCAGAGACTATCTTTGACTTCTCAATATTTTTATAGCGGTCCGTTTAAACAGTATTTATAAAAATTGATTGGAGTTCCCTACTATCAGCCTGTTTCTCTAGCTATTATATTTAGTATGATGTTGTCACTGTTGTTGACGACTCTCCATGCATGGCAATCTAGTGTTGTCAGTATATCGCGTACAGGGTGTTGTCATACTACGTACAACGTATTCCAACTGGTTCATCATCCTTTGTTGCATCAAAAACAATTTTTGCCAGTTTATGATCTAGAAATCCACACCAAATGTAAACAAACAGCACATTCTGCATTTCTGGGTCCTAAAACACCGATATTTGGAAAATTATCCACATCCAGCTATTATTCATGGTCTAGATATTATAGGTCAGAATCAAAAATACCTATTTATGGAAATAAATCTCCAAACATTGTTATATTTTCTTCTTATTTTCCGGTAAAAATACCAAAAAATCCGGTTCAAGTCCATGCATAGACAACCTGAAATTTGCAATATGAATTTATAGTCTAAATTCTATGCATATCCGTTCATATTCGTCAATATTTCATTTGAAGCTTTTATCTGTCATAAGATTTTAGACAATCTGTCAAGATTAGGGATGTTTAGATCCACGAAATGTATCGATATGTATCCATTCTTATCGTTTTAAGAAGTATCGATACTCTAAAATATTGGAATAAGATTATCGATATCCATCGGAAGGAAACAAAGAAGAAAAATAACCTGAAGTCAGTCACTCTTTCTGACACAGTCCGGATCGAGAGATGACGATACTCGTGAAATGTATCGATGCACCCAAGTGTCGTATATAAAAATATCGATCCAAAATATCGGGTATTGGAAGCAAAAGTATCGATAGTTCTAAATATAGGATCGTATCGAACATCCCGAGGTACCGACGGAGCTGTTTTGCGGCGTCATGGAAATAATTTCAAATTTTCATTTGCATTTTTTCAAGATCCTGAACAACCAAAAAATATTTGACCTTATGAATGTATGGATATCAAAAACCCTGAACGGTTTTGTGGGAATATCAATCGACAGTGCTATAATGGTACTGATGAACGGCAAGTAAATGAATGAATGTTTGGAAACGAGCAATATCTATCAAATTTTTGGTAGAGCCTGTCATCAAGTAGGTGCTTAATGGCTATCTGCAAGAGTTTTATAGGAAAAAACACACGGTAGGTGATGTTTAATCAATAAAATCGCATATCAATTGAAGAAAATAATATAAACGTGAATAAATAATCGACAATATTAAATAAAAACATTAATTTTATTCAAAAATCGAACACTTTTATATTTTGACTAAATCATATGTAGTTTCTTAGTATTCAATAAGCTGCTGATGTTTTAATGACAAGCTGTCATCTCATACTTTGACAGTATTTTGTTTTCAACATTTCATAGCTATTGGTTGCTAAAATTTGTTGATTGGAACTTGAAGCTCATTCGCATGTATTTGACCGACTGTTACCCTATAGGTGGAGAATAACGGACTGTTGATTTGACAATGCTGGTGAAATCCACCCTTAGTTGAGCAAGTTGCCAGCAAGATAGACCTGTTGGGAATACATTTGCATTCTGTTCACAATTACAAAATACATCATTGATTACGAAAAATATATATGTTTTCACTTTGTCAAGTATGTCAATTTAGCAGTAGTTTCCAAATCATACTACTTTTATTCTCTGTCCGATATAATATTTATGCTGAATGTAATTATTAAATGTAATTCTGTAATTATGAAACTGAATTCTTAGATGTTGAAAACATTTGCTTGTGTGGAATTTATCTGAATTGCCATATGAATAAAAAGTCTTCGTGGTAAGATGGTGTTAACAATGCACGCTATCATTGTTACCATACACCTTTGGAATGAATCGCCAGTCAAAGTTATCTTGCTTGAAACTTACCTTCAAACTCAAATTAAGCACATTTTGATCATGCTGAGGATGGGCAACCCTAGTGCTGCTATTCCATCATTATGTAATATTCGTAAAAGCCACGTTTCATAATAAAAACGGATAGGTAACGAGTCAAATGGGCGTACATTAAGCTATTGCGTCTGAACTGATTGCGGAACGACCCAATTTAAATCAAAGGAAGACGAAACAGATTGAAGTGCTTCCCATCCCTCACCAGAAAATTAAGGTTCAAAAGCTAAAGTGAAAAGTTTAAACATAATTTTTATCGCCGCTCGACTGCAGCAAGCAGTGGCAGCGCCTGCCATTAAATGTTTAATTATAACTTCCCTTTGTTCGTCGTTGACGGGCGACAAGAGTTAGTTTATTTGTTGTACGACGGAAGTTATGGAAGCAATTATAAGAGAAAATTTTAATTAAAAACTCTGTAGGACAATGTGAGATGCTAAGATTTGGTACTTTGTAGATGTGCGGGTCGCGCTATATCGCAGATTTGTCAAGCAACAAATTGTGGCGTAAACTTTGCGACTGATTCAAATTAAAAGAGAAGGGGAGGGGGGGGGGGAAGGAGTGAACGTTGGTTAAAGTATGTCAATTATTGATAATAAATTGATTTTATGTTTTTGGAATGATCACAGATCTTTTTCTGAGATTATCCACGCATTATACATCGATACCGATAGTTTGATATATCACCATTTGAGATGAAATTTCGGATTTGTAGTTTCAATTTAGGTATCGCAGCCACGACGATCACGTTCGCAATGCAGATCACCAATAAATAAAATAAAGAAAGAGATACTAAGATTTGGTACTCTGTAGATGTGCTGGTCGCGCTATGTTTCGGATTCATCAAGCAACAAATTGTGGCGTAAACTTTGCGAAGAAAGAGGGCACGTTGGTTAAAGTATGTCGATTATTGAGAATAAATTGATTTTATATTTTTGGAATGATCAGAGACCTTTTTTTGAGAATATTCCTGTATTATACATCGATACCGATAGTTTGCTATATCACCATTTGAGATGAAATTTCGGATTTGTAATTTAGATGTAGGTATCGCAGCCACTATTTCACAAAATACAAGCACAGTATGTGAAATTCTTGCTGGTACTGTGTTAATTATCAAATTGTCATTGGCTAATTAGTCATATGCACTTATTAGCTAGCTCGACGATCACGTTCGCAATGCAGATCACCAATAAATAAAATAAAGAAGTACATATTTGAGAACACGCCTTTATTTAACAATTGAAATGGACTAAACATTCAGAAATAGTTTTTAGATTATAAATATTCCGATTTATACTTCTTAATCTTTAAGGAATTAAATCATTGCTCTTTCTATTTATGTCACTCCAACTTTCAAATCAAGGATCAGTTTTAAATGATAATGGTTGTGCTAAGAGTAAACATTTAGATAGTGCTGTATCAGATCCAAGGAGTTAGATACAAACTTATTATTGACGTATTGAAAAAGGGCGAGTTTTATTAATTTTGAATAAGTATTATGTACCAAAATCAACGTAACCATTGACCAGATTTTTACTGGCATTACAACCACAACAGTATAAATGCGCAAAAGCCTACTGTGCATTTGTAGCAGTACAATGCCTCTTCCCTAAACCCAAAAAAGGTACGAATTCGAAGGACCAAATGTATTACTCACGCTATATGGTGAAGGTTCAGTCACTCGTGTACATCAACGGGAATGAACTAAACATCTTAGCTTTGCAGTTATAGCCCATGCAAGTATTCCAGTAACAACTAAACATTTTTTTTGCTGTAAATCATCAGAAAGCAATGCGTGGAATTTTAGGTAAATTTCCCTTCAGCAGATGATCCATTTTTTCTAATATCGTCTTTTGTTAAGGTAGAGGTGTGAGCACGATATAATGCGAAAATTACGTTTTTATACGGCTGCTGACGACGTTCATAAAAATCCGGCGGGTGTCTCCCTATCGTCTGGAAGTAGGGTCGTGCCTATGAAATTTAAATATCAAATATCAAGATCGATCGATCAATTGGTATATATAGGAAGCTTTGTTACTTTGGTCGATCGTTATTTCTGGATAAATTTTGCCTCACATCCAGGTATATTTTACAGCTAATTGGGGTTACGCCAATTTGATTCCTACAAACTCCAGGCTATTTGGATGTGGCAGCTAAGAATGATATTTTAGTGAGTGATGCGTAGCAGATCAGGTGATTCTAAATAAGAAACGTATTGGAAATACTATCAATAGTCGACTAACAATATACTTTCACTGACGTTCATTGACCTTTTAGAAATTACAAATACATAATTATACGAGTAAAACAAATATTTCAGGAACAGGAAGAATAATGCCGAAAAGACAAATTTTAAATAAATATAATATTATGAACTTAACTTCTACCAAAATTGATTTCAAAATAGAGAAATCATCCTTTGTTGAATGCCTAGAACATAGTGTCTTATTGACAGCAGCAATTTTATATAAATATTGAAACCAGTTTTTTAATAGCAGATTAACTGTGACATAACTGCCAAATCTCAAAAGATATTTTCCATTACCCGCATTATCGTAAACCAGAGGACCATGTGCGGATTATTTATGAAGTTGTATTTAAACCACAATACCTAATATGTTTTGCTCAACTGTGACAAGATCTGTTAAGGCAAAGGCAAAGACAAATGTAATGTAATGACTGTAATGTAATTTGATGTAATGTAATGTGATTCAATGCAATGCAATGTAATGTAATGTAATAACGTGTAATGCAATTTAATGTATTTTGTCAACGGTCCTTGCCTAACATTGCAGCCCTTGTGATGAGGAATTATTCTACATACTTCAGACCATAATGCCCAGATAAGGCAGATATATAGCTGAAATAGCCGAGATATATACTTGGGTCAGCTGATGCAATATGTTTATACTTGCTACAAAAATGTTGCTCGTTCAGACGCTCCACTAAGAACGTCGACATTTTTATCACTAGACACCTATACAAAAAATGTTAGGTAGAATACTGAGATACCAAGGTTCCAGCTATGGTTTTTGGTTAGATATAAATAATTTTAAAACGTTGAAGAAATTTCGACGATAGGATGTCGTTACCCCCTATACGCCAGTAGATCATGCTTCTTGGAATTGCTGGAGTACATATAAATAAAAATGTGCCGTATATCTTTCGAGGTCTGCAAAGCGTGTAAAGTGTTTTAACTTCGCCAAGAACCAGAGCCAATTTAAACCTGACATTCGTTCTGTAGTTAACACTCGTACAGTAAATCTGAGGGAAAATACTGTGACTGCTATTCTGGTCGCATAGCAATGAGTACAAGTAGCAAGGAATTAAATTGGATCGTCGGGGGAGTATTCAGGGTATTCTCAAAACCCTCAGTAGGGGGAAGTTATCAAATGAAACCTTCAACAAAACGATATATTTTGCCGCTCAAACTGATACATGAGTGAAGCAGAAATGTAGCACGGGGATGTAGTCATTGAAAGTTTTTTGTGCCCATTTACAACATGTCACGAACAAACCTCACTAATAAGGTTGCTGGTTTGACTACTATTCGTCATTATTCGTCAGGGCGGTCCGGTGGTCCTTTGCTCTTAGTTAAAAGTACCCAGATACCAAACATATTTAAGGGGAAAAGGGAAAGAAGGAAAGACAGGAAAGAAGAAACAGGCTGGTTTGACATACCTATGGTTTGAACTACTGACCAATATCTGCCAAGATCATAGTGAATCAAAAACTACGGATTTCAATAATTCTTCCGAGTTTTTCGGTTAGTTCTGAAAAGTTTGGAATACCATTAGGTATATTGTAAAAACAAGAACCAATTTCAACCATTAGGGATGTAAACACTTCAAAATGTTTTTAAACTCATAAGGCTGAGCAAGAGGAAATGCCTAACGATATATAGGATGTCCCAGAAGACGACGTCAATCCGGAAACGGCCAAATCACAATAGTTATCAGTAAAATATAAAAAAATCTCTCGCTTTTAAAAAAGGTCGGAAAAGTCACTGTCTGGTCTTGCTGTCACTACGTAGAATGACACTATTCGTCAATTCCGTCTAAAAAAATAAGATCTGTAATCATCCGAACTAAAAGATCATCACAGAGCGATTTTCCGGTTATTTTTTTAGCGTGTAATTCGAAAAGTATAAGCGAGATAATTGTATTTCGTGAGCACGTCCATGTGAGACCTTAACTAGCTTGGAACCTGTCTAAGTTTCGCTTAACTCTACGTCAGAGTTCCCCAAACTTTTTTGTGTCGTAAACACCTTGCCATGTTTTTCCGTGTTGGGTAGACCCCCTACTTACCTGATATTGATTTCCTGTAAATTTTTAATTGTAGTGAAGTTTAGTGTTAAAAACTTAAAGTAAAAGGACATGTTAATTTATACATTTATTAATTGAATTTAAATTAAAACTACTCAAAATAAAATTTTGTATCTGTTATGTAAAATATACGTAACATTAAATAAGCAGGTGTCTGAACAATAAGTGCCCGCATTGGGAATAAGTGCCCGCATTGAAAAAAAAATAAGAGGGATAAAAGAAAAAAAAAAGAAAAATAATAAAAAAAAAGTTTTTTACCTAAAATAGTACAATAAGCGAGTTTGTTTATTAATTATAACATAAACGTATACTAAGTGACATATAAATCCGAACACCCAGTTTAAATGGTTTTATTTTAATAAAAGTTGGTGAATGTATTTATCTTACTGTAAATAACAAGTGAAAAAATGTTCAGCCTTATCAGTTGGACATTCCGGTTTTTATACTGCTTTTTTTTAATCCACTAACGCTCTAAAAATGATTATTTCAGCCGCAGTAAAGAATCAACGTTGGCGGATTTTGGTTCTTGATATCCTTTACAATCGGTTACGATGCCTAGAGTACGGAGACCTGTACGATTTCGTCAACTTAGTGAGTTTGATAGGGGCCGTATAGTGGGACTTCGGGAAGCTGGACTTTCTTTTCGGGCAATTGCAGTTAGAGTGCAAAGAAGTGTAGACACTGTGGTTAGGTGTTGTCAGGCATGGCTTCGAGAAGGCCGTACGCAAAGAGCAAGGGGCACTGGACGCCGCCGTAGAACAACAGACCCTGAAGATCGCCGCCTAAGATTATTGGCCTTAAGGGACCGTTTCTCCACTACCAGGTCCATTGCAAATGAATGGTTTGCAGAACACGGAAGACCTATTGGCATGCGAAGTGTTTACCGACGAATGAGAAGTTTTGGCTTGTTTTCATACCGGCCACACTGGGTGGAATGGAACAGTATTGTCTTTAGTGAGGAGTCTCGATTTTGTTTAGGCATGCACGATGGTCGTGCCAGGGTTAGAAGGCGACGTGGTGAAAGGAGGAATCCACAGTTTTTTGTTGAAAGACATGTTCATCACACTGTTGGAGTTATGGTTTGGGGTGCTATAGCTTATGGTTCCAGGTCACCTTTAATCTTCATCAGTGTTAACATGAACGCGCAGCGCTATATCCACGAAGTTCTAGAACCCCATCTTTTACCCTATCTTGACACCCTGGCAGATCCAACTTTCCGACAAGATAATGCCCGACCACATGTTGCAAGAGTGACAATAGACTTCTTTCAACATAATGATGTCACATTGTTACCATGGCCACCAAGATCTCCCGACTTATCCCCAATTGAGCACGTGTGGTATATGATGGGTAGGAGATTGCTCAATTTACAATGTCCTCCTCAGACTCTAGAAGCACTTCGAGAGGAGTTGGTGGTTGCCTGGAATGAGATACCACAGGAGGACATTGACCACCTGATCAGAAGCATGCCTAGGCGCGTTGGAGAATGCGTAGCACATAAGGGTGCATCCACACATTAATAAAGGTCAAAGGGCTTTAAAGCAGTGCAATCATTTTGAAATTTTTATCATTTACTTATTATGCTTCATTAAGTACTTATACAAAATTTTAATAAAATAAAACCATTTAAACTGGGTGTTCGGATTTATATGTCACTTAGTATATGTTTTACAATAATTTCACTGTTAGTTTGATTAAATTCCGCTTCTTATACATTTTTTTTTTGTTTGTTTTTGTATAACTTGTTTTTTTTTCACTTTTGTACGGGGTTAGATGGTGGAATAGCAGGTGCTAAATCTCGCCCCATGTAATGTACCATGTTTTGGTCAATAAAGACGATTATTATTATTATTATTATTATTATTAAGTTATCTAAAAATAGGCAAAAAATTAACGAATTCTAGTGTGTACCTATCCTTGAATTTTCAGAATAATTTTAAAAAAATATATTTTCTATAAAGGGGGGTTCTTTAAAAAAATCAATGCGGGCACTTATTCCCAATGCGGGCATTTATTGGTCAGACACCAATAAACATAAAATAAACTATAAATAAAATAACATAAGCAATAAGTCAATATTTTTAGTGAGAAGGATCAACCTGGTGCTTTAATAATAAATCATCAACATTTGACGTCAATTTTGTAAGGGTTAATCTTAAATCTCCTCGGCTAATGATGTCCAGTCTGATTCTTTTTCTCGTTAGGAGATTGGTAACAGCGCTGAATCCGCTTTCCACTAGGTATGACGATGGAAAGGAAATTAAAAATTTCCTCGCTATATTCCATAATACGGGATAAGTAACGGGTATGTTGTTTTGCAGCCAGAATTGCTGATGTCCGTTTTTAAACTGAACCTTAAGTTCTTCGTTTGTACTTAGTTCAGTCAGTTCCTCTTGTATTATGACATTCGTTTCTTCTATGTCACCATATGGATTAATTATCCACGGTGGTATTACCATAGTCAAAATATCCTCAAACCTAGATACAAAATCTGAATAGAGAGCATTTAAATGTTGAACGTAAGTTGAAACGTCGTCTTCCTGGCAGCTTGTCTGTGACAAATTGGGGAACTGAGAAAATTCGCCCCGTCCAATATTTTGCTTCATTAGTTTAACTCTGGCAAGAAACGCTGTTAAGATGGACTTTGTTTTAATCAAATTTAAACTGTCGCCTTGTAATTGCAAATTAACCATATTAAATTTTGTAAACAAATCTGTTAAATAGGCGATGTCTGTTTTCCTCTTCATTAAATTTTATTTTAAAATTTTATCTTTAGTATCCAGAAATTCTAAAATAGTCTCGAAAAGTTCAAAAAATCTTGTCAAACATAAGCCTTTCGACAGGCAGCGTACTTCAGTGTGAAGGAGTAATTGATGAAAGTGTTCGTCATTTTCTTCACACAACTGCGTATTCAACGCGTTGCTTCAACCGCCCCACATTTTGTTTTAAATAGCTTATAAATCCACGATAACGTCCAACCATGGCAGGTGCTCCATCTGTAGCTACTGATATTATATTTGATAAAGGAATTGCTTTTTCAATGAATTAATCCTTCAAAACATGAAATATTGATTCACATTTAGTGTCGGTTATCAAAGTTCTTGCGAAGAGCAGTTCTTCGTAGATTTCTTGATTCATAATAAGACGAACATATGCCAATAACAATGCTGCATTATCAGGTAAAGTTGACTCGTCCAGTTGTATAGAGAAATGGGTCGTTTGCAAATAATTACATAAGAAGCTTTCAATATCAGAACTCATTTCATCAATACGTCTTTCAACAGTATTGTTGCTTAAGAGAATTCTTTTAATGATATCAGATGCAGGTTTGTGTAAAACAGTTTTTAAAACCTCTTCAACGGCTGGCAAAATTAACTTCTCTCCGATAGTATGCGGTTTTCCGGATTTTGCTATAAGAAACGAGATTTTGTAAGACGCCCGCAAACCATCATCAGTTCTTTGTGACGTCGAAGCGATCATTCTGTCCAGTGTAGGTCTCTTCTGAAATTTATCTTTGAGTGTTTGAAAGTATTTCAAATCTTTCTCTGTTTTATCAGGGTGGCATCTTCTCAAATGATCTTCCAGTTTAGATGGTTTCATAGCGACATTGCCCAAAACTTTGTTGCATAAAAGGCACATAGGTGATTGTTTGTCCGGCAATGATGGAATGAAGCCAAATTTCAAATAATCAACAGTGTACTGTCTACATTTCTTTTTAGATTCGGACATGGCATCAGTCATCTGTGGGCAAAATTAAATTATTTAAATAAGACAAAAAATCCAGCAGCTGTATATTAAAAATATTTTTTTGATTTTTCCGAAAACATTCCATAATTCGAATATCTTGCAACAATTAGCTCGAATTACGGAGATTGCACTGTAATTATATTACCGATTGCTAAAACTTTCAAACAGAAACTATTGAGGAGTACTCGTGTAATTTTGCATGATTGAATATTTAACTACTGATAACTAAAGTCATGATTGGCGTAATTTATCTATCTTTGCCAACTACGAGTACAAAACTAAAATTTAATAAAAAATAATTTACTTACTTTTCTCCAGCATTCTCAAACAAAATAACACTGACTCACTATAATTTGTGTGATATACTATCTGTTTATATTTTTTAAAATATTTTCTTAGCTCTTTCCTTTTCAAGATTCAGGAAACGAATAAAAACCTATTTGTCCCACATTCGTATTTATAGAGTGACGAATTGAACCAGTCAATGCAAGGTAGCGAAGCTATGAGACTGCGACTCTCAGGTTTTTACAAGTTCAAAATGTATTGCGACCACAAAGCGAATACCAACATCCTACAACTTAGACAATTTTATAAACATATATAATAAATTTTTACTTCATAGGTACTTTTATAAATACTACTACTACTATCAGTGTATGTGTTGAGATCCACTATAGTGGACCCCCATATTCATTTCATGGACCCCCAAATTTTTTTTCGCTGACGTAGACCCCTTGCAGGTTGTCATAGATCCCTAGGGGTCGATATAGACCACTTTGGGAATCAATGATCTACATGATCCCTTATTATTATTTAAGTCAAACTGATTGTCAGTGACCTTAAATACCGTTTGACACTTGTTTAGGACTTATGACATTATTTTCTTATGATTTATAGATATATTCGCGGACATCCAGCATAAATGCTTCACTTTCGACTTTATTGTTGAAACGCTGATTCTTGAAAGGTCTTACATTCAGCAGACCTTTTATTTACATTTTATCGTATTTTGATCTCTGGATCAACTTTATCAGTTCACTGTTTGAATCCGCTTCAGCTGCAGGCTCAAAAAAGTACTATACGTCCATATTTCAAATATAGAAGATCTCCTCTGTTATTGAAAGCCAGCTGGAAAAGCAACCGTCAGTTGGCCATTTATATGATAAATATCAAAAGATTAAAAATGTCATGCATTTACATTCGCGTATGAGCGATGTCGTTCTTTTTGAAGCACACGCTGTCCTATTCCATTATGCAACTGAATCTGTATAGACAATATCGAGCATGCAGTGTTTCAATCACGAAAGCTTTCCGCGTATAGCTAGATGTTCCATATTTCTAATATTTTGATAGTACGGGTACTATGATGCTTTCATTTCCATTCGTATCTACCTTGGAATAAAAGAGTGTACCAAATATTGACATTGGCTGTCTGGAGTGAAGCTAGCGTTAAACTAAGTGTTAGTTGGGTGAGTTTGTGAATCACTTTAATTGGTTGTAAATTATTACAGAGTCATGTAGAAACGCTTGTAGACCACCGACTAATTTCTAACTACATTTTCCGAGACCGTTGAATTAAGTATTATAAGAAACGCTATCGAGAGTAGGTAGCCGATTTATCGATCAAAAAAATATTTATTTGGCCAACTCTGACCACTATTTGATAACCAAATAAAGGATCAGCCAGCGGAACGACAAGTGGCAACACTCTTACTCCCAAGGTTTGAGCACCTTTGACGTTGTGTTTCCTCGTCGTGATACTTTCCAAAAATTGAGACATACTTACAACACTCCTTCCGAATTGATAATAACTCTTGTTACAGATCACTGCGAAAACTGCACATTTCTTGTTATTCTTCAAGTGGCGAGGCTATCATTTATCAAATATTTGGATCAAGTACTATTTACTGCCCTAGTCAGATGGCATGCTTGAAAAAATAACTACACAACTTATAAAATACCATGCTTTTTACGAAAAATCAAAGACTCGTTTCGTTACTCATGGCATTCGAATGAACAATGAGCTTTCTAATTCCTCGGAATCATCCCTAACTGCATTTAATTGTGCAGGGTCTGGTGTCTTCTAAAACGGGGTAGGTGGCTATTGCCAAAAAAATCTAGGCACACAATTGGTAGAGCGCTCATGCATCTGGTACCTTTTTGCGAATAGAGAACTGATTGGAACACAGACCTGAAGGTACTAACGAGTGGTCTCTGAACTCTCTGATGCTTCTAATTTCAACAACCCAAAACGAGTAACGACCTACAAGGTAATAACTGTTGAGTGGAAGCAAATAAGTTGGTACGGTCTTTTCAAAAACTAAACATGAGGGCGAGTGGGTGACAAACACCGCCTGTGAATAGATTGCCAAGCTGGTTGTTGTCCTCATTCCATGCGACGTCTTTGCGTGGCGTAGAACGTTGGGCAGTTATGAGCTAAAGGTCATCTTCCATCTTCCATGTATGGGGATGAAAATCACCTTGGCAAACTGTAGGTAGGTGACGTTCGTTGCCGACTTTAGATACCTTCACAATTACCTTTCATACCATCTTAATGGTGGCATACTCAGGGAAGATTCACCAGTGCACCGAGTAGAGCATATTCTTGAGCTTCGACACTCAAACTGTCCTGAAGGCAAGGGTACTCCCGAGTACAAGGTCACCTAGTTCAGCTTCTGAGCTCCTCAAAGCTTATCCTGATTCAAATAAGTGTGTGACGAGATAGCTGATGGCATGCAGCATCTCGGCCAGTATAGAAGAAACACTTATCCTCTTTAAGGGAGAGGAGAGCGTATATCTCCCCTATCTGCTGGAAGGAGGATGAGACAGTGTTCTACTTCCTAGACTGAGATATTCGGAGCCATGAAGTTCGATAGTGAAGTTGCTCACTCAACGGATTTGTTGGAGGTCCTGACCTTCATTAGGAGATCAGTAAGGTTCGGCAATAAGCAGATCTACATGTGAACTGGAGTGCTGGTACACTTGGAAAAAAGGCCAGAGGTGGCTTACTTGCCAGGATTCGCTTCCCCACCACTACTACTGTCAAACTGACAGACACACCGCAATGCGTCTTCTGCGTGAAGGACGACAGCCCAATGCACACATTCTTTGACTGCTCTAGATGGAATTCCAGGAGATAGGTTGTTGCATTGCAAGTAGGTAAGAGACTGATCTCGGGAGAAATTGAAAAGTTGATGGTAAGGATAGAGGAATTTTGCAATCACATCGCAACGTATGTGGAAGGAGTCCTAAAGGAAAGGAAGAGAGTGCACGCTAGTATATAGGTGCACGACGTGAGGCTGACCGCAACGTTTTTGAAGAAATGCGAAAGCCATATTGGAACGACGTTACCAATGAAGAACGGCACGTGTATCCAGGATGCAGGAGTTTTTTTATGAAATAGGATCCTTCAGTTGTCCTCCAGAAGTCCATCCCGTTCTTCCCTTGCCAATAAAAAAAACTACTTCTACTTACTACTTCGTCACCAACTTGTGCATATCATTTTGAGTTCATCGAAAGACCATATCCACTTGTTTACTGTCCTTTCGTTTGTCTGTTAATGGTAAGCACGAAATAGCGCTCATGGTTACTGAGACGGCAGGCCAGGCTTGAGGCAGACAGTATCAAACTGCACCACATCCTTGTCAAATCATACCTGGACTATATCTGTACAAAACTCGTTCTAGTTGGAGCGCTAACAACGTATGCACGTCCGTTGCAGCTTCGATTGATCAGACCTATCAGGAATGTCAATATTTGTACGTACATTTTTCTTTTTCTATTGCTACTGACTCCGCACTAGGAAAACGTTAAACATGATGGATCTCTTTAACAGCGCGGAATATCGACGATTCGAATGTCGAAACTTTATTTTGATACGCGGATATGTTTTTGAAGCTTTGCTGAACAATCCTGTAGTCTGATAAGGACTGTGCAGTTGGTAAAT